GGGGATTGTGTGATGCTAGTGTTAGCACATAAACTAATTACTTGCCACTTTTTGGCTGCATTAGCAAATCCTGAATACAGCAGGATTAAAACCTGTAAATAAATCTCTCAGGTCAAGTGAAGAGCTCTTGCACATATCTTGGCTTTACCCCCTGCGCGGCATCCCGGTGGAAGCTCCGATCGAGAGCTCCCCTCATGCTGTTCTCCAGTGTGAAGTGGGGGGCCAGCTTGAAAGTACAGTGGATGTGCAGCTCACCGGGTACGTGCCAGGGAACCGGGAGCTGAGGGGGCAGCAGGGTGAGTTCACATAATTAGTTTTTGAAGAACATAATGATGACTTTTTCACACGTTGCAGATGTCTGCAGCATTGAAATGAAGACTCAATATGAAAGCTAGAATGGCGCAGCTTTCAGCAGTAATGGAGTATGATATTGTATTTATATCAAATGAAGTGAATTGTACATTGACTTGTATGTGACTGGATTGCATATATTTTACAACCTTATTAGTTCTGTCTTACCATTTCAAGTGTATTTATATGCTTTCCTGATCAGAACGAGGATGAAAGCTGAACATAAAGTTCATTTTCCGGGTCTTTTCCCTGTGACATTGTCTCAGAGATTCATCCGTCCATGACTTGATTTAACTGAATTGACGTGGTTGCATTTTTGGCTCGAATTCTTTGAGAATCAAATACTCTGCCGTCCGTTCTCCGCTAATCCACCTTGCTGCTTCCTGCTCAACGGACAGGCCTGATGGATGACCTTCTGTGCAAGGTGCAGTCGGACTCTGAAACGGCGCGCTCGAGGCTCGCCAGCTGCCTCTCCATTTCCATCCAGGCGGCAAGGAGAGATCCTGAGAGTGGCGCCATCATGCTCACCCTCCGTCTGATCTACACTCCGCGCAAGATACGCAGGTAGCCGAACGCTAAACACGTGGACTCAAACAAAGAAAAATGTGCCGGGGTTGAATTCTCGCCAACATGTTGTTTTGCCCTAACATTTTAAGGGAAACAAAGTTGGTAATAATTTTACTGTGATTAAAAATAAAAAGTCAAAGTTTACACTTGTGTTGGACAAATCAAATTTGTATCGGTCTCAAATTGCAGGTTGACCTCGGTTGCCCACACTTTGGACTATTTTTCTAAGACTACTCACCCCTCTCTGTGATGAAGCAACAATAGGGCTCTTGAGTTAAATCAGAGAAATCTGAACCACCTTTCCCTCTTTTCTTCCCTCCAGTGCTGTACAAATAACGGTTATCTCCAACAAAATCTGCATTCATTAATCTTGGCTTTTCCTCCCTCAGTGCCTGTTCTTCCACCGTTCGGTCTCTTCCTCTCTCGTCTGGGTGCGGTTACTGTGTTCATTTTTTACTGTCTTTATATGCTGAGCTTTAGTGTTTGTCGCAGGAAACTTTGCTGTGCTCACTTTGAACTAAAGGGGAAGGCCGACTCATTAAAACGGCTGCCTGTGGTTAAACAACACTCATCCCTTTAGGTTACGCCCCGAGTGTATTATGTAGGGGCAAGAATCAAGCATTTACTGACGTTTATGAATTATGTCAGTTAATGAGAAACGACATCCATTAATAATGTCTGACATATTTTACAAAATGTGATGTGAGTTTAATATTCTGACAAACCAATCAGAGTTTCTTGTTATTACCTCACCTGTTGGTGGTCAGAATGTTACGAATGATTGAGGATTTAACAAAAAAAAAAGGCCTCGGGAGGATCGCGACGCCGAGAAATGTAGAAACTCGTTCTCAGCCGCTGCTTTTGGTAGCGCGAGACATCCTGCTGAGTAAATGAAGGATTCATTTATCAGCTTTATTCTTCTGTAGAGGATCTGCAGAGTCCATTAATGAGGCGTGCGCCGGTAGAATCAATACCTCCGAGAGCTAATGACTTCGCCATCAGGAAGTGACGGGGGGGCTGGTGCCGCTAATAGGTTCTTTCATTTTCTATCTACATGTTAAATCTGCGCCGTAAGTGGAGATAAGGGACGTATCAGAAGCTCGGACCCGGAATAGTAACGACCAGCTTAGAGGATTGTGTTTGTCCGCTTCGACAGAAATTCTTGAAGATCAATTACAGCGAGAGAGAGAGAGAAAAATCAAGACATGCTCATTTCTGTGTCAGAAAACCTAAAAGATTTAGATTCTGTTTTTGCAGCAACCTAATGTCTTTCTTATCACAAGCAGCATTCATCAGAAGAATCCTATATTGCACATATGTGGACTGTTCTATATCGTCACTCAGACTACACACGTCTAGACATTTGAAGATGCCTGAAGTTAAATTAGTTTCTACAGAATCAGAATTGTTTATTACTGATAAAAAAAAAGATATATATTTATAAAAAAACCCACATGGTTCAGTTTTCTGCTTCCAGGCTTCAATAGACAGTAGAACAATAAAAGTATAAACAGAAATATTGCTTTCTTTTTACACCTGAGTGAAGCTAGCTGTGTGAATACTCTTCTCATTTCAAGGTTCTCAAGCGTTCTAGCAGTTCAGTCTTCGTCCGGCAAGGTCTGGGAGTTTCCTTTGGTTCTCATTGCTACGAAGCCTCAGGTGGATGACGTTGTTCGTGTAGAAACGACAGAGATAGGGAGGACTTCCGCTGTGGGTTTCCGCCTGACCAGCACCACCAGGTGTGTACACGGGATTTCATAAAAGTTCCATTCATACCGCAAAGTTTGGCATGTATTCCTCAGCTAAAACGTCTGCTACTTCTATTTTAAATGCTTTATATATTATTTTTATTTTGCCATATGACAAAGGTTCCTATTTTCTTGTGTAATTCTTTGGTTCTGGATCTTCTAGATATTTATTTAGTTTTATAGAATTTGTATGTAACATTTGACAAACAGATTGAAGATAAATGTGGATATTATCTCAAAGCCAAGATTTAGTTTCATTTGCATTCCAGCGCTTTTCATGTATATGTGTGGGCTTTCTCGCGCGCACAATGTTTTGCGGTGGGAGGTAACGAATTCGGCGTTGATTGCAGGAGGTCGACGGCGTTCAAAGCAACATTCCTGCCAGGCAGCAGCACCGAGTTCACCGTGGCTCCGGCCTCTGGGATGTTACCTCCTGCTGGCACAGCCGGAGCGCTCATCTCTGTGTTCTTCACCCCCACTGCAAGCTGCAAGAGACACAGAGCGAGGCTGGTCATCCAGGTACATCACTTCCTGTGGGAGTGCTGCTGAGGCATTCACAGCTTCCTTTTAGCAACGCAGCAGGTTGACTTAAAAGAAACTAACGCACGTTTTTTTCCTTTTAGTTAATTGTGCTGTCAGCATTCATTCATTGAATGTTTTGGCTAACATGGAGCCACAGTCAGAGATCTTTCTACAGTTTGATTATTAAGGCTGAAGTTCACAAAAAACATTTGTTTTAGGTATGGATATGTTTCCAAAAAAAAAGAAAAAAATTGACATTTCTGTACAATCTCCATCCAATAAATCACTGATTTTTTTAAGGATTTCCTTCTTGTTTCAGATTTACCAATGAAAGAGTATTTTTATGATCCTTTCTATTTGTACTGTATAAATGCGGTAAAACAGACTGAGAACTCGGAAAATCTGAGTGGAAACACGGCGTGTTTGATATGTAAACCGCATGACGGATTAAAAGTCATGCTGGGTGAAATATAAAATAAACATATCTTCGCTCCCAGAATCTTTTGATCGCAGAAATAAAGCGTTTCTCCCCCTCCATCCGCCCGAGCAAAACATCTCTGGTTATCGCTGGGAAACGAGTTTCACGCTGCTTCTCGTTTACACCTGTCCTCGACTGCTGTCCTGTAGTTCTCCCGGAATCTTAACTGTTCACTTCTAACGCTTTCATTGCAGGCAGCTGACATGCAGTGGATTTATGATGTGCGAGGGAAAACCACTCAGGACCACCAGCTCCTCCGTAAATCATCCACCAAGGACAGCCTCCCGGCTCCTCATCCCCCCAGAGAACGCCAGCGTAACTTTGTGGTCCAGAACCTTCGCATTCCCTTTCTGGCCAACTCGTCCCCCCTCAAAGTCAAAAAATAATTATAACTTAAGGACAATCAAAAGCCCAGCCCTCTTTTATTTTAAATACAGATTTTGTTTAAACCGGCTGAATGTTACCGTATGTATTTTCACATTCCTCACATCGTCTCTTAAACCACAAAGAAAGTTTCCTCATCTTCTCTCAGCTCATTATCTGTGTGATGGTTCCCATCAGCAGCTCTAAGTAGCTATTCCTCTCCTGATGGCAAAATGTATTTCGTCTACCTTGTGGGAAGGAAATTAAAGCTCAATCCGCCCGAAGTAATGCTGCCCCAATCCTTTTTTTTTTTTTGTTTGTTTTGATTTCAGCATTTCCTTCAACTAGTGCAAGGAAAATAGCTCCATCATTATAGATCTTGGGATAGGATAGTTTTTGTCATTCTTAAAAAGTGTTCTTCTTATTTTCCGTTCACACCGCAGGGTTCATGGACTTTCACACATCCAGCACATCCACGCATGTGACTGCTGAATTACTATCTTGATTCGTGTACGAACTTAAATGAAATGATTTATTTAAAAAAAAAAACTTTTCCTGTCCAGCAATGTGGCACACGTGAAATTGTTTTTTGGTGAAATTAAAATTTGAGGAAGACGTTTAAGCTTTGCTAGTAGTTGCTTTGGGTTTAGCGTAGGAACAGGCGGGAGGTTTAAAGGGAAAGAAGGAGACAGGAAGTAGAAGAAGAATGAGAGAAACCAGCATAAAAAGAACACAAGTCACTACCTTAAAGGTCTGCCTCTACACCTGCAAAAGCAGAAAAAAGAAGCCAGGAGTTGGAAGAAGAGAACACTTATCTAATCCCCTACTTACTAATATGTTTAGGGTAAAAAGAACAACATGAAATAGGCGTGTTTTACAAATAAAATTAAGCTTTCCGAGAAGAAGGAATTGGGGTAGGTACGACATATGATGGTTCCTCTACACTGCAGGCATAATGTTGTCTTTCAAAGCAAAAGTGGCCAGCAGTTTTACTTAAAGCATGTCTGATGGCTCCTACAAAAAAAGCCATGTTGCCATGTTGAAAATGTCATTTTCAGTGGGCGACAATGGATTTCAGCTTTCACATAAAAGAAAATCAAGTTTGAGTTTGAGTAAAAAACACAAACCCTTACATAAAGACGTGCAAGGGTCCCTCTCTCTGTGTGTGTCCGCATGCTGAGCTGTCCTGTGATTCACCTTGTGCCTTTGAAATTATTCACAAGGCAGTTACGCTCAGCTATGCATCCATTAAGCGCCATCTGCAGCAAGCCGGGCTGGGAGCGAAGGGAAGGCAGAGAGGTGCACGACAGCTGATGGAGAGATGGGGGAAGAGAGAGCGGGGGGATACGGGTGAGTAACAGGTGACGGCGAGGGAGAATGGATGAGGGCAGCAGATAAAGTGAGCACTAAAAGCAGCGGATTGGATGGATGTTGAAAGCAGGACTCGCTGTGCATGTATTTTGCATACCATCTGTGTGAGGAATCAGGGGTTTCACTCTGTGTGTGTGTGTGTGTAGCTACAGGAACCAGAGCATCTGCTTGTGTCAGTGCATCACTGCAGGTTTGAGCCCTTGTTGATTTTCATCTCCAGATGACCTGCTGAAACGGGCCCCCCGTTCGCCGCCCTCCGCCGCTGCGTTGCCCCAGCAACAGACGGGTCAAGTAATTGGGGTCTGCTGTGTTCCCTGCTGCAACAAGAGGTCGTGTTGGAAGTCCAGTTCATAATCATGACAAGCTGCCGAGCAGGGACTCCCCAATATAGGGTTACCACTACAAGGTACTACATCTTCATAACCTATGATGTTGATGTTATCTGGCAGGTTTCCTTTTTTTTTTTTTTTTTGCATTTTCAAAATTATAGCAATGCAGGGCGTGAACAAATTGTTTAAGATCGGTAGCAAATCCAGAATACTACGCCATTGTAGGTAGAGTGGGCAAAAAGGAGGAGTATATTTCCATCCTGTGTTTTGAGAAAATAAAAAAAAAAAGAAAAAGAAAAAACAGATAATTTCTGAGATTGATCGCAAAATTTATTTTTATTATTCTTTTTAGTCAAGCTTATTTTTGACTTTTGGCACAAAGTGACCTTGAGACTATCTTGGAGATAGTCTGTCCTTGAGACAATCCTGTAGCCTGTAAACGGTCCCCCATCCCAGGTGGCGAAGTCCTGCTTCATACCAGTTCTGAAAATGACATCCTGTAAACCTCCTGAACGTGACATAAAACAAATACAACACAACTCTAACAGTCTGTCTTCCTAGGACAAGTTTTATTACTTTGTGAGAGATTTCAGATTCATTTCAAACGACTCCGATGTCCTCTGACAGTAAAAGCCAGGGGATGGCCGTTTCAAGTAATCCTTCTCGCTTCTCAGACGTTTCTAAATGGATTATCTACTTGGCTGCTTAATACTATTTCATTTTCATTTTTGTCACAGCGAGTCCTGTCCCCATACATCACTCACACGGGGATTCAATTAGCGTGGCGGTAATTAAAGAAGAGGGGGAGCTTCTTTTTCTTTCTCGCTAAAAACACACAGCCATTTGTTTGACTCCCTGTCAGAACAAATAAGAGGCATCCATGTGTTAATCATCTTCACCTATTAATGTATGTAATTATACCAAACAACATGTAGTGCACATCCTTGCATTGTTATTGAGCTGTGTTAAATAATTTAAGGGTTTGTAAATCATCCAGTAACACAATTATAAAAAAAATAATAATAATAAAATCGAGACGTTAAAGTCATGAACTTTCTGTATGCTATTAACACTGAAACTATCACCCTTTAAAGAATCAATGATCGCAGGGATAATCAATGCAAATCAATGAATGAACTAATCACTGGCAAAATTGGGGTAACCTTGGATGATGATATTCAATTTAAAAATTACATAGATATCTCTATCGGCTTTTAAAAATTCCCATTCTTAAGACAGGAAGAGACATAAACTGACTCAGCTGTTTTTTTGTTGTTTTTTTTTCACACCCTCAAGTGTATGCAGAGATGCAAAGTGATGCGCAATAAGCCCTGCGGTATCCCAACACCGGATGAATGTCCAGGTGTCCTGCAGCTGTCCGTCCCTCACCTGTAAGCCTCGGGAGCCAATCACACGTCAGCCCTGATGTCCCAGAAAATCCACAACCAGCTTCTTTGAAGTGAAATCTAATTATTACCGCTGCACTTCTCTGTGAACATTTTATGTGTGTCTGTTCTATCTCTGGGCGTGTCTGCTTGCGTGTGTGTGTGTGTGTGTGTGTGTGTGTGTGTGTGTGTGTGTGTGTGTGTGTGTGTGTGTGTGAGCTTGCACCTATCAAATCTCCCTCTGGTGAACATGACAGAAGTGAAGGGGGAGGAAGAAGAAGCCGCTTTCATCTCCTTACCTCCATTTGCTGCCTAAAACCTCAGCCGTGACACATGATGAATCTTAGCGCGCGGGGCGTTCTGCGTTCATCAGGAGCGTTTAAAGCAGAAAGTTTTTTTTTTTTTGAAAGGGCTGGAAGTGGTGGGCTCTCGGCAGGTTTTGTCGAAATCTCTGCAGCGCCATTTTGCACTCTGACTATTTTAGTTGTAGCATCTGTTTGAAATTGTTATGGAAAGCCCCGCCAGCGTTCCCGCGCCCGCATTTTGTCATGCAGCAGGAAGAAACTTAAATGTATTTTGTCAGGATTTTAGGTGGTAGACAAATGTAAGGGAGCACAGAGTTGTGGAAGTGGAAGAAAAATGATTCATCTGAAAAGTCGGCGGTGCGTTCAAACATTTTAACAACGGATCAATAACCGAACAATTGGCCAATTGCAGCATCGCCTTTATAAGTTGTTATTTATTTATTTATTTTTGTCTTGCCACTCACACGATCAAAGTGTTGAATCCGTACCTCGGAAATGTTCTCTTTTTTTCAATACAGACAAAGATTTGAGCATTTCCGTTTATGGACACGCTGCTAGTATCCGTCTTCAAAGCTCCTTCCCGGACCCGTCCAGAGGCAAAAGTTCCCTTTAACGCATGCTTCCCGGTGACTGATTATCAGGTGCTACTGGCCTGTTTACCTCGCTGTGCGTTTTGTTCTCATTTCTCATAAAGCCATCGTCAGCCAGCACCTGCGTCTCATCGACGAAGACAGATAGAGATCTGGAAAAGCTCAGCAGCAGGATATGAAATATGCTAATGAACCGGTGTAATAAAAAGCCATCATTACACATGCAGGAGGAAAGAAAATGGAAAACTTTTTAAGAGGGAGGGCCGGGAGTTGAGGCTTGTGCATTTCCGACCTTGATGTGAAACAAGCATCCTTGCTGAAGGGCAGCATTTTGGGTGGAAGAAACTGAGCTCCCATCAAGATAGTCTAAGCCGTGTTTAGACATCAGTCATTATGAAAACAGAGCCGCTGCTTTATGGTTACTCCCACAGTGCCTGGGTGGTTTTAATAACACGTTTCGCATTTCCACAAAAAAGGCAGCCTCCCAAAAAAGAAAAAAAGCCTCAATATGCATCGCACTACAGGGAAATATGCAAATACAAAACATTCCTATTTATTAATCTGTGCCTGCAGCGACAAATACAACGTATTTCATCTCAATAGGTATTTATTTCTTTTTTCCTTCTGAACAGTTGTTATTTGAAAATGCCAGAAACACTAGATGCTGCAAATTGCGTTGTGTTCAGATTGCAAAGTGTGCAGAGTGATGAGGCGGGTAGGATTGATAGATGGAATTTAAACAAGTGGTTTCTTGGCACTATAGTCCCTGAACATCAACCCAAACGTTGATGTTTGGGATTTTGGAGAATAGAATCGGCCTCCACTGATTTATGTTGGGGATCATTGTTCTACTGGAAAACCCATTTGTGTCCAAATTTCAACTACCTGTATCCAAACTGTGACTTTATGATGAGAGGAAATTGGCTTCAGTGATCAGGAACAACACAAGAGCAACCAAAGCCTGTTGAAACACAAGCGTAACTGTCCACAGTGAGTTGTACATTGACTTTTATTCAAATAAAAACAAAGTAAAAGCCTCTTTCTTAAGATTGATAACTTTCACAATTGTGGACATTGCTTAAAAGACGAGTATTTGACTAGAAGCCAACCAGTGTAAATGTAATGTGCCAATTCTGCCTGGAAAACTGCGTGAGAATTGTGCCAGAGTTGCTACAAAAGAGAAGACGAGTTGCAACTTGCTAAGAGATATTTAATGACATTTTTTCACAGGACTGTGATCAAGGTTTTGTGACTTTGTTGTCTTTTAGCCTCTTTTTAGCTGATTTGTTGCTGTATTTGGGGTCGTCGTCCATTTAGAACACCCAGTTTTAGCTTCCTGGCAGAGGAATTGATTTGAATGATTTCAGTCGTTATCACTTTTTAGACCATAGAGTCTTCACACGAAAGAAAACTCCTGCCAAGAAGACCCAAAAGAACATTCAGGGTGCAGTGACGAAGGTTTCAGGACTAACAAGCACCTTTACCTTCTACAACATTTTATAGGAGCTGAGGTTTGTTCTTGGACTGTTTTGTTGTACGCTGTACAACAGCCCGCATTTTTTAAAATTGTTTGGAACTTATTTTTTAAAACAAATTTGTACTCCTATATACAGTATCTGTACTTTGTAATAAAAACAGCACTTAAAACATATAGCACATAAAACGGTTAAACTTACCACTCGGCCCATTAAATCAAGAGAATGTGATTAGAGCATTACGGTGGGATCCATAGAGCTGTCTGAGACATTCAATAAGAAGATTGTATCAGCTCATGGTTCTGCTTTGACTGAGCCAAACGCTTAGATCTTGATCTCATTGAGATTCTTTGCCGTGAGTGGAAACATGTTTGGGAGCTATGATTGTCCCAACTTTTTTCTTCTGATCCACTTTTAGTGCAAGTCAGTCCACGCGACTCAAGTGCGAATCGTCTCCGTCGGGCTCTTCCGACACCGAGCCGGAATCGCGTTCCACGTTTCTCGGGCCCAGACGCCTTTTCTGCTGAAACGTGTTGCTCCTTGGCGCAGAGAACAATTTGATTTGGAAAGCAGTCCGCAGCAGTCGTGGTTACGGAGGGAGAGATTTACAAGTGATTTACAAGATTAATAACAAACAGTGCGGTGATAAAAACATCAGGAGTTGAGGTAAGGCCATCCCAAAGGCTGGAGACCTGGAGGCACGATGGCAGCTGCCTGCAAAGCCGCTTGCTGTGAGTAGGATTTATAAATAATCAGCCATTTCTTATCGACTTCATTTCCACAAGTTTGATTTAAAAACTGCTTATTAATTGTCTGGGTTGGCAAATAGCACGGCAATGTCAGCGTATTTTAAACAAACTTGGCTCATTTATGTAATTGCAGTGACTAAAGTGAGGATGAGGAAAGAATCACAAAGGGTTCACTGGGCTGTTAATCACTCTGGTTTAGTACCTGTATAATTTCAGATCAGCCATTTGTTCATCCATCCAGGTCCTTGCGGCTCATTTGTCAGATTTGTATATAAAGAAAAACTAATTCTTTGACATGGATCAATGTTTGCATTTAAAATGTGCTCATGACATTAAAAGTTGCCCCAATTTTAACTATTACTGAAGCGTTTCAGTTTCTGAAGCCTTATCAAGTGAAACTTGATTAAAATGTTTAAAAAAACAACAACAAAGCTTTAATTTTGTGTTAAAATTTTTCTTTTCAAGGCGTTTCCTTCCTCATATGGATCCTGGCTGATTTTACAGGTAAGATCCAGTCGATGCGCTCACTGTTCTGTTTCTTTTGTGCAGGCTTTGCCTTCAAGGCTCGATGCATCAATGTAAAACCATGTTGTTACTGGCAGGTGCAGAACCTGCAAATTAGGGTGCAGTCACAATTCAAGATCGACAAGAGAGGAGTGGACAAATAGAAAGTTGTGTTAGCCAGGGAGCCAAATAAACAGATGAGATAATAGTTTTGCTCAAACATTGCCTGTAAGGGTAGGACTTAAATATTACCAAAGAGCTGGGCAGATCTTTTATAATGATCATTTTTTGCAATGTGCTTATTCAGGAAAAAATACACACAAATTACTCGTGTCCTATTGCTTCAGTCTATCTCGTTGATACGCTAAAGTATTTTATAGACATCTATAGACTTTGTTCAAATACTTTCTAAGGTTTTAGCAACAGAATTAGAAGGAAAAAACCAGCAAGTGCTTCTAAATGTCAGAAGTTTGATATATCACACTTAAATTATCTGTAATACTGACCTTGTATGTATTTGGTATTGGATAAACACCAAAATTTGTAGCACTGCACACTTCTATGGTCAAAACAGCCTGTCAAATACTACAACATAAGTGCCAATTAAACTTATCATATTACACACCAGAGACTAAAGCTGCAAATGGATTTTCTTTAGCTATCTAGCTAATTTTAAGGCTTATCCTTCTGTTATCTACCCAGCTGAATCCCTGGAGAACGTGGCACCACGGGGTATCGCATCTCAGTCATCCACCATCCACCTTGGCGCTGCCTCAAGGGCAATTGACGGAAACAGAGACCCAGAGTACAGTCACAACTCCTGCACTCATACAGTGGCGGAACCGAACCCGTGGTGGAGTCTGTTGTTGCCAGTTGTGTACCGGGTCTCAACCGTTAGCATCACCAACAGGAACGCAAACAGCGAGAGGATAAACAACGCTGAGATCCTCATCGGGAATTCCTTAGAGAACAACGGCAAGAACAATCCCAGGTATTATGGAGGAGGAAGAGATTTACCTTTCTTCTCCTGTTATTGTTGAAATCCTAATTTTAGATATTTTAATCAGCAGGATTACAAAGATTTTAAATGTGCGCATATCAAAGCATTTTAAAGGGGCAGTCATCTTTTTTAACCTTTACATAATCCTCTCATCAAAAACATATCTGGAGTGTTTTTGAAAAGATGATGGAGAAATTCTTTTATCTCCCGTGGCAAACATTCAGCTGTGCAAACCGCCTGGGTGGACCTAGCTCCGCCTTAGAGGCACAACTCCTCCTCTGAGGTTTTAGATGATTAGCAATCGCCTTGTGAAACTGCGTCAGCCAAGCTCATTATACTTCTCGGCGCAAGTATAATGAAGGGTTTATAGAGAAGCCATGTTGGGATGACTTCCTGAAGGCGGAGCTTCACAAAGAGCTGGAGCTTCTTAAAAAGACAGAGGCCCAATTTCAATGCTTTAGATTATGATGTTAAATTTCTTTGAATGAGTCATATTTACACATAATACTGCCCCTTTAAAGTTTGTTGCTGTATTATAATACATTTCATAAAGGTGCAAGGATCTTCATACATCTGCTGTTGCCTCATATTACAGCGTCGACTCCGTGTTTTTCAGTGATCTGGATTAAAAATGTAAATCTGTATGTCTCGTTCTCAGATGCGCTGTCATTTCCTCCATCCCCAGCGGGGGCACCAAAACCTTTAACTGCACAGGAATGACGGGTCGGATGTTGACCGTGAAGATCAGCACCTCATATGGCATTCTGACAATGTGTGAGCTAGAAATGTATGGAGGTTAGTGAAAGCAGTTTTATATTTAGAATCCATTGTAAAAAAAAAATCATAAATCAGCAAATGCAGGGAACTATTTCCCTTGAACATTGGCCCAATGTGTATTTATGGAAGCCATATTTTCCCAGAACTCGCTGCTCCCTCACCATCCGTCAGCGCAGTGGTGATGGGACGGAGAGTAGCTGTTGTCCAGAAGAAGCTGTGCTGGTCAGACGCCTTGTTGTACTGCAGGGAACACTACTGGGACCTGCTCAGCGTTCGCAGTGAGCAGGAGCAGAGAGGTTTGGAGGAGGTGTTGAGAAACACAACCTTCATGACAAACGACCCTTCCGTTTCTTCCGGACATGTGTGGCTGGGACTGCGCAGGTATCCTCCAGAACACAAGGCCAGTCTAAGGGTTCAAGAACTGTAAAAGTGACATTTTTAGTGTCTGGATTGTTTCTGCTGCAGGCGTCTGATGGGGAGCTCGTGGTTTTGGATGTCTGGTGCTTCTGTGAGCTACACTTACTGGAAAGAACAACACATCTGGCAGGTCACAAGTCCTTGCGGTGGCGTGGACGCCGACGACTCGTACTACTGGAGAAATTTTCCGTGTGGAGATCACCTCTATTTCGTCTGCTTGAAAGGTAAACCAACAAAGAGTTCAAATTTAGAAAGAAGATTTTTTTGTTTGAAAGATTTCAGGGGGAAAATCTATAGGATTACCAAAACGTGCCAAAACCAAAGCAAAAATAAATTGGTGTCTTAGTTCTGTAAAAAAATGTAACATAAATTTGTGTATTTGCTTATGTCACTGTTGAGACTTTGACTCAGTTGCTCTGAAGCATCCTGGCGCACCTCATTGATCAGTTCACTGCAGACTTTCACACACATACACCTCTTAATTAATCTCACACCAGTAATGGAATATTAATCACTGGCTTCAAATCATATTTACAGAGCTGAAGTCATTTTCTTATGACAAGTATTAGCACTTTCTGCCAAACCTGATTGATTGAAGTCACACAAGGCTGTAAATCTGATTTTTAAATTTTTCCCCCCCAATTGACCCTTCTGTGTTTTCAGAGTTTGAGAAAAATGGGAACCGTGTGGAATTCTACAGTTTCACCAGACAGTAAAGGTCCCTGGGAAGACAAACTCTGGTTTCACTCACTTCACTCGGTCTCAGCTCTCTGTAGCATGCAAACTTTTCAGGACTGCAGACTTAGAAGTTTTGAAATTATACCACGAAACACATTTCTCCTGCACGGTAAATTGGAATGCTTTGCTCTTTTTGGGTGCTAGAAGTGGCAAGGATGTCCAAAAGTGTGTAAACTTCAAACAGAGTGCGAGATACGAAACTATCATTTCTACAATCTACATATTTTTTTGTGTCAAAATATTGTTATTAGTAGCTTAAATTGTGAAAGTCCTCAATCCCTTTTTCCTGGCAGATCTATAAGCATAAATTCAAAATGATTGAATTGATGCTCGATACAGATGTTTTTATTCACTTTTTGAAAATACACTGACTTACTTTCTCTTTTTTCTGACATTAAATCAGACTAACCTTTTCCTGTTTTAAGTCTGTTGAACTGACCAAAATGATTCATCTTCTTGTACTACAAGTGGGGTCTTGTCCGGGGTTTCATTCACTTGATCTCCACCCTGAAAAAGTCACCAGTCCATCACAGTCAATGTTTTTATTCCTATCTGTAAGATATTCTATTTTTATGATTTCATTTATCCAGTCATTTCAACTCCTTGTACTAAGCAATGTGTAATGATAGCATTAGAAATCGAGCTATGAGTTAATGATGTTGAAAATGAGATCAGAAAGTTTTGGGAATTGCAAAGTGATGTGCATACAAAGCTAATGAAGTAAGGCAAGCTAATATTCAAGCTGTAAAACTTTCAAATTTGATCAGTTTAATGAGAGAGAGAAAAAACTACCAGTAATAAAAAAGAACAGACCAAAGAAAATATCTACTTGGTAAAAAGAGCAAATTATAAAAGGATAGACATTTATTTGAATGTATATTTTAAAGAGAAACCTTGAGAAGTACTGTGACATTGATTTAATTTCTATTTTTTTTTACTGCAAAGAAGTCTACAGAACTCATTTGAAATATCTTTGTGTAATAAAAACAACTTTGAATTCAAGAAATTCTTCAGAATACACAAAGAAGTGGGATTAACGTACAATCGTGTCTTTCTAAAATATGAGATAATGTAGGTTTTCGATGGCTGAATCTCTTTTATAACTTGGGTCTAGAACTAGAGAATGTTGAAAGTGAATAGTTTCACTTTTTTTTAAAAAGAAAGCCTCACTTTTCATTCAAGGCTAAAAAACACATCAGTCCAGGCTTCTTATTTTGTGAGCCAGGCTTCCTGACTGCCTCATTTTCTAATAATGTATGAATCCTTGCAGAAGCTAAATGAGGTCCAACATAAACCTCAACACCTTCACTCAGTCACGTTTCTACTGTCGACTCCTGTAGGTGCTTCAGGTTTCACGTCTGCTAAAAGTTTGGGATGTTTTTTATGATCCTGTGAAGAAATTTGTACACATTATTATTCATTAGTCCTCAGAGAATATGTTATCGACAACAGTCCTACATGAAGACCTTGGGTCTCCAAGGAACCAGTCGAGGTCAGGTGCAATTTGGAGGTGTGGATTCTTCTTCCTTTTCAGCCACGATCCCGACATCAGCAACCTGTACTTGTGTGCAAACACCCACAGAATTTGCCAGAAAGTGTGGTGTGGTGTCCTGTGTCAGAGGGTTTCACGTAATCTGTTGTTTTTGAATAATTAAAATGGTCTGTCCAAAAGAAAGCTTGACATTTACTGGACTCTATAAAAAAAAAAAAGCAAGGAGATGCCTAATCTTTTAACTGGTCTCGCTCATCAAAGACTAGGTCCATTTTCCTGCAGCCGTTATGCAGCTGCGTCTCATGTTTCACAGACACGGGACGTCCCAGGGATGCATGCTTCTCTCTGCAAGGAGACGAACAGGTGAGAGAATGTGCCGTGTCTCGCGCCCATGTTTCAGTTGTGTTTTTGTTGGTTGAACGAAGCGCAGTGGCGTTGGAATTTGTGAATTCGTCTCGATTCGTCGACGGCGTCACACTGGAGCTGGACACTGAAAGCAAGCCCACCTCGATCCCTGCAAGACGTACTTGAAGAACAAAGAAGCGATGAAGATGTTCTAACATTTCTAGCAAAAAAAATCAATTAAAAAATCGCAAACAATTGCTTTTTTTTTTTTAGAGACAGCACTACTGAAACTTACTGTTGGAAAGGGCTTTACAAATAAGAGTGCTGAGAATAGAGAGAAGTGGGAGGCACATGTCGAGAAATATGATTGTTTCCTCTGTGTGCTCATGACAGCCAATGATCAAGGAAGCCATAGTGCTCAGGTTGAAGGAGACGGAGCTATCCATATGCTCATCTGACCGGAAAGGAAGAAAGAAAGAAAAGGAGAGACTGATGGATGGGAAAAGATGGCCTTGTTTACTTCCCATCACTGGAATATTAAGGGATGATGAAGGGAGGCAGGGGAGCAGAGAAAGGAGGAGAATAAGAAGGCAGCTGACAGGAATAAAAGAGATGGAGTGGAAACAAAGTAGTGTCACTAAAAAGAGAGAAGGCCACTATCTGGCAACTTTTTGAACTTTTTTTTAAATAGTTTTTTGTTTACATTGAATATAAAAACTTAAATCTATTTTACTGGGATTATAAACGAACAAGACGCAAAAGTGGCACTTTAGGTTCTCCGCCGCATTTTCCAAATGTCTTGAGTCTAACATAATAAGGAATAGAGCAATGTGTTTATGTACATATTCATTTGTATAGCAGCAGATTTGTATTTCATGACTCTCATAATCCAGAAATGCATTTTCTTCCAATCATTCACTTGTGTTAAATACAGAAAATGCCAACTACAAATCTACAAATACATTTTTCACTGTTGTTTGGCGCCCCTCTGGAGCGGCGCCCCAATGCGCCACTGAATGCGGATATATATATATTATATATATATATATATATATATATATATATATATATATATATATATATATATATATATAATATATATAATATATATATATATATAATTTTTTTTTCGTCATTACTTTGGAGGCTTTTTAAGGCGGTTATCTGCTCTGTACTTTATTTGTTGCTGTTACAGTAAGAGGTTGGCTAAAAATCTTCAAACTTCAGCAGTTTGATTACATTATTATTATTACTCATAGAAGAAAGTCATACTGCATTAAAAACTGCAGCATTACACTCAGAAGGTGTCGTGCATGTCTTCAGCTCCTAACTGTACATCTGCTTGTCTCTTTAGGACCCGGTTGGACCTGCAGGCTTTCGTGAAGCTGTTGACGTCAGCTGGGAACGGCGCAGGTCTCCGCCGCGCGGCGGCAGCGGCGCCCCAACAGGCGCAGCGTCCGTCCAGCGCGCATCGCAGGCGGCTGCCGCACTCCGCCAGCCTTCTCCCCGGGTCCCACGCATGCACCGGCCGTGAGCCCTCCGCGCCTCTCCGACCCCCCACCCTCGCCATGTCCTCGGCGGTCACGGAGACGGAGGAGTCGGCGCACGGCTCCCCGCTGACCCCGCTGAAGCTGGTCGGGCTGGTGTGCGTGTTCTTGGCGCTCTGCTTGGACGTGGGAGCCGTGATGAGTCCGGCGTGGGTCACCGCCGACGACCAGTACTACCTGTCTCTGTGGGAGTCCTGCTGGAAGCCGGGGAGCTTTGAGAAGTGGGAGTGCAGCAGCACGCTGGACAAAGGTACTCTACTTCTGTTATTAGGAACATTTATCTAATGTAGACAAATAGAATGTAAGTCAAACAGTCATTATTGTGGATTTGAAATGGTTGATCTCTTCCTCTTTGTCAAAATTCATCATCATTTCTCAAAGTTTTATTTGGTTTTATTTCATTTTATTTCTTTCAAACCTCACACCTTTCATGTTAGTGACAGCCAACACAGTGAAGGTTGACTGTATGGAATGAGAACATGGCAAAAGTGTCCTCCCTGTGGATGAAAGCAGAGTGATGCTTTCAAGGACTTCTCTATAAATCTCAAAAGTGTGGCATGCTCTTTGATTCAACCCCCTATGAGTTTCTTGAGCAACCTTTCACAAGTCATTTCAGGGGCATACATTGGCACATCACTGGCATCTAAATTAATGTTCTATTAATTATTAATGGATAATAAAACATGAAATGATCACACTAGGATTCGTTTTATTTTCTATTAGAATTCCTTAAAGATTCACTGCTGCTCAGGCTGAATAACTTTTAGAAAAGTTAGCTGTAACTTACTAAGAGTTTTGTCACTGTAGTTTCTAAACATAGTTGGTGCATTTCTTTCTTTCTTTGATTGTAATTTGGGAAAATGAGATAAAAAAACCAATGTACAGTTACATCCCACGGTTGTCTTTCTTGAAGGTCAGCCTTAGCCGTCTCTCGTCTTCTACAGCCTCCACTAGCTTTCCTTTTAGGATTGTCCGGTATTTCTCTCTTCCTGCACCTGCGAAAGAAAAGCGCCCTCCTCCCACAGCATGACGCCGCCACCACCGCGTTTCAAAGTCGGGATTGTGATTCGCAGGGCTGATTTTCTGACCAGTGGATCTTTGGTGTGCTCCGTGGCTGGTGGAGTGCCCATCAAACCTAATTACCTTGCATCAATTTCCTGCAGCCGATTATTTATGTCTCAAGCACAACTGAGGAGCTTCTACTCTCTGGGGTGTTGCCACTAACTTGAAGCCAATTAATCCACATCCATGACTCCAAAAGGCAGGAAGGTGTGGAGGGGAAAAAAAAGACGCTGTCTCATTTCTCAGGCTCGGTTCTGGTTTGCTGTTTGTTGTCATATCCAGCCGTATTTTACTAAGTGATAGCGAGGTTGTGTTAAAGCCCCGACTCCCTGGGAAATGACTGATGACTTGTTTGCATACCAGTTTGTTGTGGTGCTGGACTGAGTCTGGAGTGTCGGTGTCTGCATGTGTGTAGAGTGTGTGTGTGGGTGGGTGTGTGTGTGTGCGTGCCAGTAAGAGCTGACCTATTTCTGGACATTCTTCTCTGAAGCCCTTGTAAATATTTCATGTCACACTCTGATTTCTCTGTTGTTGCGTCGCCGTTCCCCTCTTTCTCTCTCCTTCTATCTCTCTTTCCCTCATGGACGGCAAACGCACACACATTCTTTTTTTGCTTTACACACACACCTACTCACATCCATACTCCAGACCCAGACTCCCTAATTAGGTGTCTGCACGGTGAGTGTGTAGGTGTCGGCTGGCGTGTGTGTGTGTGTCTTACCACTGCACCCGCATTGATCTTAAAACTAAGTTCTGTCTTGCTTGTCCCAACTGTCTTGGATTTGTATAATTGGGTCATTTTCTCATTCACTAATGGTTCTGTTTTTTGTTTTTTTTCCCAAGATATCAAACTTAGCTGAAAGGTGTTGTAAAATGCTACATAGGCAAAAGCTTTGGACCAAAGTGCAACGTCTAGAAAACGGCCTTCATGTAATCACAACACGGATTGAAGCCTTCATGATGTTCACATTAAGTTCTGACCCCAACGATTGAACGTGGCAGCTCACATCAAGACTCATCAACCAATGCATCATTAGCCGTGTTTGCATCAGCAGTTTTTCCTAATGCATTTTGAAGTATCGCAGTAGGAAAAGGCAAAATTCAAAGTAACCTCCTCAATTTCTAAAAATGTTTCTACGCTCACTTGGGGTGTTTTTTTTTTGTTGTTGTTTTTTTGTTCGCAGCGCAAGCTTGCAGCGTTAGCACAGTTAGCTGCCGTCAGATGAAGTGCAACAATTAGGGCAAATGTGAATGTCTGTGTAGATTTTGACACTTGTGATCACCTTTGAACCATTTGTTCTTCCAGTATTGATTATATTGAGATATGAATGATTTAAACGACCCTGAAACATGGAGTAATGAGAGCATTTCTCACATAGCGTCATTTATCAACTGTTTGGAAGTAGATTCAAAAAACATGCTTTTGTGCAGTAAATGCATCCGGTCCTTGCAGAAACTGAGGATCTGCTGTTTGTTTGAGGGGAACCTCAGATCCCGAAACACTCCAGTGGGCTTTTGTCCTTCCAGGCAGGTACCAGAAGCTTCTGCCTGTCAGTCACATAGTCGCCCTCTGAGACATTTAAGCTCAAAGCGAGCCTTCGTTTTTCTCGCTTTTGTCTCCTAAGGCATTGTGAGATCAGTCATCGGTGAAGGCAGAACACCACCTCTCCCTAAATTTGGTCTCCCCGTTCTCCCCTCCTATCATCTTTCTCTTTCACTTGTATTGATCCACTCTGGACTTTTTTTTTCTCCACTGCTCCATACAATTCAGAAAAATTGTTCTTTTTCTTTCACTTTTGTTTCCCCCTCTTTCATTGTTTCTTATTCCCCCCATTTTTACATGTATTCCCTCTTTGCTCTGCTGTCCTTAATGACTCCTTTGTTCACGCATTCATTATTTTCTCATTGTTATTTAGCCACGCTCCTCCTCACCGTCTCACTTTGCCATTTCTCCACAGTCACGTTTCATCCCCCTCTTTTTGTTTTCTTCCTCCCTTCCCGACTGCGACTCCCCTCTCAGCGCTCCCTCCAGAGATCCTCGTTCTATTTGGAGCAGCTGGAGAAAGAATCGGTAATCATGTAGTATCCGGCTTTATGGCAGATAGCTACAATAGTCACCGGCGTTCTTATGTGGTAGCCTGCTTATTTTGTGGTAAATGGTTGTTTGATCTGCCGATTCCACGTTTGATTGATTTAAAATCTTGCAAGCCAGCTGAAAAAAAAAATCAGATGTGCATCGTGTTCCAGATGGTGTAAAACTAACAGCACTTAAGAAAAAGAACATCCATAAGCTTATTCATGTTTATTTTACCTCTAAAGCTTTTTGTTTTTGTTTGTTTTAATCTGAGTTTATGTAAATATATGTATTTTTGAAAAGTTATAAAAAGAAAAGTCCAATATAGATTCAGTTTTTGTGAAGTTTACGTTTTGTTTTTGTTTATTTTTTTTGCTCCAACAATTTGGTTTGATGCAGAATGAATTGACGAAGCATTTTCAAATATATCACAAAGCTGAAAAATGGATCTGGTTTCTGCGTTCAAACAAAGATAAAACCTCCTTCTCCGATTCCGAAACCCTTTTTGCAACACATTCACATCGTCAGACTTGTCATATCGGTTCTTCGAGGTGATCGGATCGGTAAATAATTATGAATTCATAAAAATGTCAAAGAAAACGGTCTCCTTCAGCTCTAAATGACCGTCACGTTTCCAGATCTAGTGAATGGATGGAAAGGGGGACCGTGCCCGTAACGATTGGATGTGTGTGTTTGAAAGAACAGAAAACGGTGTAGGTGATCGATAAGCGGCGGTGACTTGTATTGTAACGTTCTTCGAGGTGGTCGATACGACCTGAGGAGTGCTACATGAGTGCGATCCATTAGGCGTTTATCCTATCATTTATTTATTTTCTCTGGCCGTCGTCAACTATTGCATCAGAGGGGCAGGATGCAGCTCAGCGCCGAAGTATAAGAACTGAGGATTTTCATCTGAACTGGGAGAAGCATTCCACATTTCTTTACAAATAGACATCTGAAAAGTGTGGAGTGCATGTGAAAGATTTTTAAACCATCTTTCACGTGCATTTGAAGTTGCTAGTCATTTGGGACATGGCTGTGGTGTATAAATTTACTTCAGAATGGCAAATTCAAACATTTGCTGCAAATAGAACAGCAACAATATTTGTCACTGAATGGTCAACTGTTAGTTGCCTCTTCCAGTCAACTAAATAGTGAACTGTTTAGATTGGATGACCTCTATAATTATATTTGATGGACTTTTGACTTGGCCATTCTGGTTTTTGCATCTTCGCAACAAAATAAATAACCTTATCTCCACAGGAGAAGGAAAGAGAAGTGACAGCCTGCCATGCTAATCCCGTCACATGGCAACAAGTCACATTACAGCAAAAGGTATTTTGCAGTAAGCAGAAGCACAGAACAACTTCAAGTCATGCGTGTGTTAGAAATCTGCACATTTTCCGGCTCCAATTGAAATGTTCTGCTCCAAACTCGCGTGATTGTGTGCAGCTAGAAGAAACGTTTTTTGTAAAACGTATTAAGTTTGAGAAAACCTCATTTTGGTGACGTTTTGAAAGCTGAGTTCTTGATCAACACATTTCTTTTTTTTCCTGACATAAACAATTACAAACAAAACCCTTTATTCTGAAAGTGAAAAGTGATTTTGACTAAAATACTTATTAAATAAAAAAGATGTCACCTAAAGTAAGATGAATCCTTATCAAATGTTACATTTGCAATCAAACATGCTTCATTCTGTTTTGATAATATCTCATGCACTTCAGCTTATTGTACATTTCAGTGAGTTTGGAAGGTTTGTGTGTTCTTGCTCCCCATATACAAACGTAGATAGATTTTTGACAACAAGCCAGTGAAGCTTTTTAGCCGAGGCTATTTTGAAGGCTCAGGTGCTTTTGCTGCTCTCACTTCTTTGCCGTTACTCTCTATCTCAGCGTCCTGAACCCACCAACACCGCTCCCCCTTCCTGTTACCTTGCTTTACTCATCCATTTAGACTTTGTTCAGTTTCTCCTCGACTGCAACCGGCAATTGCAGTTCTGCTTTTCCAAACACTCCTCGCTCTGTCTTGTGTCTCCCTTCCACGCCTTGTTTGCTCCCGCACCACTCGCCCCCCACCCCCCATCCCCATCCCCACAGATAAATGCATTATACCTTATGCTTGTAAATAATAGAGTAGTGCAAAATGAGAATAATTTGTCTTGTTTATGTTCTCCCAAGAGGCATATTTAAGGCCTTTTTCTTTTTTCCTTTTTTTTTTGCATTCATTCATTTCCCAAAATGCAAAAAAAAAAAAGCATAATGCTGCTATTTTACACCTTGCTTGAACTCCTTTTTTGAAGGACTGCAGTTGGTCGTTTTTCTATAAAGGAAACATGCTAACATAAGCACTGATAGTACAATGAGCCTAAAGTCGAAATGTTCCTGTTAAAATTCCAAGTTTTGTTTAAAACTGAGATCTACCTTTTGGTACAATTACAGCATTTAAAGACCATAATGCCAATCACTAATTTGCATCAAATTTTTATGTTTATATGTTTATTAAATATTTTGCTTTCTTACTTCTTCTTCTCTTCCAGACTGGCAGGTTGCCACACTGGCCTTGTTGCTGGGGGGCGGAGCCCTGGTGCTGATGTCATTCCTAGTCGCTTTGGTTGCCGTGTGCATCGGTACAAGACGGCGGTTCTATGCTCTCGTGGCCTTCATGCTCTTCGCTGCAGGTCAGCGCACACTAAAAATACCTGGACTTTTTTTTCTGTCACTTTGTCACAGCCAGAAATTTCAGAATATTTTACTAGAATTTCAAGCAATAGACAAACACAAAGTAGCAAATAACTCTGAAATGTTTGCGAAATGAAATCTTTCCGTGATGCACGTGAATCCATGTTGGACATATTCGTCCGACCACTTCCTGTTTTTGCTCGACATGGTAGTATGGATTAAAATATTGAGAAAGAAAACACGACAGCCGTTGAATACTGCGCGTGCTAAATTCCCCGCAGCACTGGTTGGCCAAGCAATGTCACGTGATTCTCTGCAGCAAGTGATGGCCAACCGGGGCGCGTCATCACAACTTTACACAAGCGTGACTTTACCTCCGCGAACCCCTGAGAACGACTCATTGAACCCAGGTTAAGAACCACTGGTCTAAGCAAAGTCTGTGCTTTTAATGTTAAAGATCCTACTTAGGTTACAGCCTATTTAATTACCCAACTTTCATAAGGTTTTCACATGAAACTCTCCAGATAATCCTCATTTTTTTCATTTATCCCAAGACACACACCTGAAGCTCTCACACTCACACGGTTTTCTTCTCTCTCACTCTTCAGAGGAAATCCTGTTTTTACGCTCGACTATGAAATGTGGTGTGACGCCCGCCTCTTTAACTCTCCCCTCATCCCCTCACTTCAAGTCCAACAGCAACCCAGCTTCTCACAGCGTAAAATAAGGAGACACTTTTATTTATTTTTTTTTTCTTATATCAGCGATGTGATTTATTTTTTGAAAAGCAGGATCTGTTTCTTAGCCGTAGCGAACAAACCTTAGCGACTTGAAAGGATGACGCAAATGTGCTTAAAGCTTTTTGAATTAAACATCTTCATTTCTCTATTTCAGCAGTTTTTTGCAGCTCTGCTGCTGAATTGTGCTTCTATGAAACTTCCTTTAGTGTTACTGAAACAATAATAGAGCCTCAGCATATGTTCCTCTGATAGCTATAATGCTGTGATTTCCCTCAGATTGCTGCAAGATTCTCTTTATGTTAAACACGGCAGGGTCTCTTGTGATAAAAGGCCTCGGCCGCCGCCGCGAGACATAATCCTTCAGCAATAGAAAGAGGTTCGCTTTTGCAATTTGCGAACAATGTGTTGCCTTAGTTACCAAGATCATACTGAAAGCGAAATAAAATTGCGTGCTGTTTTAAAGGCCATCTGGAGTTTCGGGTTAACCAAGATGCACAGGATCAGCAGCAGCAGGGGGAAAAAAATCAGAGTTTTACCGATGCGGCAGCGTGTGACTTTCAGGGTTCTTAAAATTGTTGACACCACAGCCTTGAGCTTTTAAGCGACGCCTCTAAAGCTCTGCTGCGGTATTTGCTAGCAAGCTGTCATTGTCGGATCGTTTCGGTTTTGGACATTAGGATGCTGACAGGATTTGTTTACAAATCAGGAAGTTTGGACAATAAGGAGGCTTATGTATTTATAAAACCTTCCAAAAAGAATTTAGCAACCATTGAGCAACTATTTTGTGACAATAACTACAAACCTACATTTATTTTGTGGACTTTTCGGTTTATGAGTGCGTGGCAAAAGGAACCACATCCTGTGGTGTTACAAAAAGTTATTTAAAATAAATTTTTGTCCTTGTGAACACTGCGTCCTCCCATTCAGGATGCAAAAGTAAAAGAAAGAAAAACAATCAACACTTCCTTAAATTGATGTAAAATACTCATTGGACAACCCAAGATCAAGTCTTAAATCCAAGACCAAACCAATGAGAAATCATTTTTAAGGATCAGTAAAATGGTTGTTGCTGAAAATGTATACAGAAAATCTACCTGAAGCACCCAGATAACTTCTAATTTCCAGTAACTTCAACGGCCTTCTAGATTTTGCAGTAAACTTTGTCAATGACGTATAGTTGGAAAGGTTTGGGCGTGAATGCACACGAAGCAAATTAAATAAGTTCTGGCAATTGCACAGATGACTTTGAAGACATAAATATGGGGGGTAGAAGGGACACAGACAGAGAGTAGTTTGTAAATCAACACAGAAGACCTGTGGGAGTGACAAACTGGGACGTATTGAAGAAGAGTGGTTTGCCATCTTATCTGTCTCATGGTTTGCTCAATGCAGAGGCGACACTGGGCCTCGCAAGAAGCATTAGAAATAATACTTTGCTGCATCTACAGCCGAGAGAGTGAAGGTTCATTCACTCACTAGACTATTTATGAGATGCATCTATCAATGGCTTGTTGACTCAAATAACAAATCAGGCATTCACGTGGCAGAAACTCAATACATTTAGGCATCTGGACGTGATGAAGACAAGTTGCTGAAGTTTGAACCGAACATCAGCATGAAGCAGAGGATCTAAGTGACTCTGACTGTGGCATGGCAGCTGGTACCAGACGGGGCGATGCTGGTATTTCAGAAACTACTGAGCTAATAGGATTTGTCACAGCCGTACATCTTCTGGGTTTACATAAAATTGTTCTAAAAAAAAATCCAATGAGGACAGCAAGGAAAAATTCTTTGATGTTAGAGGTCAAATGGGAATAAGGCTGACTTCTTTAATATAATTCAGTTAGCTACTCTAAAGATAACCACAAAAGAAGTACAGTCAGAGTTTGCAGAAGATCCAACTGCAAGGAGCTGAGGACCACTTTTGCTTCTGGCAGCTAAAAGCAGGAAATGGTTACAGTTCACACTACCTCACCAAACTGAAACCGTTATAGAGTCGAAGAGCCTTGATTTCGTCTCCAACATTCAGACTCTAGAATTTATATTAAGTGTACCTAATAATAATGAATACACACAATTTCAGATGCATAGGCATAAACAAATGTGTATTTCAAGTCTTTAATGTCAAATTTGAGTTGATGGCAATAAGTCAAGTTCCATCTTGTGTTTAACCTTGCCTTATCTTCTCCAGTTGTCCTCCAGGCCTGCAGCTTGGTCCTCTTCCCCGTCAAGTTCATCGAGAGTATCAACCTGAGGATCTATCATGAATTCAACTGGGGCTACGGGCTGGCTTGGGGAGGGACCATCTTTTCCTTTGGTGGGGGAGTCCTCTACTGCCTCAACCCAAAGAGCTATGAGGATTACTACTAACTCCAATAACAGCTGGGGACTTCACAGCTAAATTGTGGCAAAGAAATATGTGCTGGAAGTAATGAGCACCCCAAGCTTTGACCTTTGGAATTAAAGCAAATAGTCAAGATATTATTCTTTTTTTCCTCTGTCGACAGAATTTTTGATGCGGACTCATCGTCTTGGCAGCGATTCCTAAGACTTGTGTCAGAAAACTCATTGACCGAAGTCTCAACAACCTTCCGTCTGTTCTTGGCTCCACAAACCCAAGCTTTTGACTCTGTTAATTAGAAAATTGTTGCATGTTCTTTGGCTGGATCCCTTCGAATTTCTTCACCGCGGTTTCCAGCTTTGCTGTCAAAACCTACGGCTCGGTTAGACGTAGAAGCCGTTTTGTTTTTCAGAGTCGTCTGGAGTCCCTAAGGTTCCGCAAGGGTGTGGAAGCGGATCGCATCCTCATAACTTTTCAACAGCCAGACTCTTCCTGGAGGAAGGTGAGGGCAGGAATAGAAAGAAAAAAAAAAAAAAAAACGTAAGACACCCACTCAATATTCCGTTATCGACCCACTTGTCTGTTACCACGGCAACCCAGGGGGAGTGCACATGCAGCTGTCATGATTGATTACCCATGGTCGGGGATTGTAAGACAGTATGGCCCTCCGAGGCCTCAAAGCATCTTCGATTGCCAATTGAACGTAGTTTCTCCAGCCACCTGTCATTTGGTGTACGGTTTCGCCCTCCGGTAATCCTCTCTGTGCAAAAGGAGTGTTGTCAGCCCATCAGTAGTCAGGCTTACATGCACAAAGGCCATGAGATACAGGAGGATTGTTCTGAGTGGAATCTTGTAATTATGCACTCATCTGATTGAGATTCCTCGGGGCGTTCATGTCTTGTCTCATTTCCTGGCTGCGTTTGGTGAAATTGCTCGGCCCAGTTGGGGGTGAAAAGGACGGTTTGGCTCAGGCCGATGGAAAAACAACATCTCACACAAAAATGACACGCATACCTTTAAAGGGTGCAGATAAAGGGTGAGCGTTCAATCTTTACTCCGTAGAGAGGGCAGTTAATTGGAGATCATTCAAATTTTCTTGTACTAGGTGATAGTTTTATCATAGTTCCACATAGTATTCAAGAATTTACTCAACAGTACTCCATTTGTGCCTTTCTCCAAGTCATCAACACAGTAGGTTGTACTCAGTATATGTGATCAGGAGTGGCAAGTCCTACCCTTATAGTACATTTTTGCTATAATCCATTTCAGCTTGTAAGTTGGGTATTCTGTGTATATCCTTAACTCTGAAATAGCTGCGCTACACATAGAAGACATTGGCTTTAATAGGAAACTTAATTTTTATCAGTATCCTGTGCCTTTTTCAAATACATTGGAGCTTGTGGTTGTTATAATGCGGAAATGTTTGGAGCACTTTTGGAAAACAAGTAACGAGTAATACCTTGTTCACACGACATGCTGTGTCTTTTACTTGCGACACTATTTGCAGCATGCAGTTAAGCAATTGTTCTAGATTCACATTCACTCCGACCAGCCAGCATCTCGAGAACACAGAGGGAATTTAGAGTAACCAAATCCCAGCCTTTCGTTAAAAATGTACAAATGAGGGGTAACTTAAGAGATTTCGAAGTGGAGCTTTGTTTGGATGTTAATTCATGGCCTGTTTGTAGTAGATCATTTTCTTAGTCTCAGCCAAATAACTTTGTTTGCCCATCTCTCTGAATAATCATTGCACACATCTCAAACGGTTTCATTTTAAACTTGAGATCAAATGTCGCACTTAAAAATTCTTTATCAGTAGCTCAGCATCAATAGAAAACCCTGAAGCAAATGATAACTTAATCTCATTTTGATGTTATCTGCAAGCATTTTGTGGACATTTGTGGAAAATGTACAAGAACATCATCAAACGTGAAGCGAATGTTGTTTGTTTAATTGTGATCTTAGGATGATGATTTTATATTTGTTCTCCCTGCCACACGATCTTGGACTGACATTTTTATCCAGATTGTGTCATATTTTGATTTATTTAGTTTTTTATTCCTCTGCAATACTGAAATTTGTTAACTATAAAAGTGTGACAAAAAGAAAGCAAGCTTTTAAGAGGCCGACTTTTTTTTCTTTTTTTTTTTGCAAGTGTTGCTGTTTAGTTTTTCAAAGATGCTAAGAGCTTCTTCAAAACATCAGTTGATTTATTTATTTATATTAATTACGTTAGTGGTTCCACTATAGTTCCTAATTTAGTATTTTTAAAAGAATTTATCGTCTGCCATTTTCAAAGTGTCTTTTTTTTACCCGACATTCTGTTTCCTAGATTACTTTCTTCTCCTTGGGAACTCATTTTTCCGCGCCACACTCCAGGTGTGTAGGGATTTGAATGCAAAGCAGTTCTCCTGTGGATGTTTGGAGATTCCAGCAGCGTCTTTCATTCGCTGTCCTTTCATTGTCACATATTTACCGCGGCGCGCTGTCATCCAACCGTCATCCCAAAATAGGATCCAGGCCGACTCCCCAGCCGCCAGGAACAAATGAGGGACCTGGACGGCGGCCAGGCGCTCCGGGGAAATGACAGACGTCCGTTTATTTCACCTCGACCAGCAGAGCGCGGAAGGTTTGTACATTGTACAAAAAAAACGTATGTCGTCTTTTTGACACATTAAGCTTCTTGTGGTCCTCTTATTACTGTTCTGTACTTTTCTCCTTTTGTCATTTTGGCACCACTTAGACCACTGTCGCCACATTTTCCAAAACTGAAACTCTTTTCTGTTTTGTCTTTGCAAAGCAGCAAGCTGTTTTTTTCTTTTTATGTCGAATCAACACCTTTCTGTATTTAAATTTTTTTTTTAAAACAGATTTTTCATCTGGTTTTGCCCACAGATCCTAGGCATGGCTAAAGCCGTTCCTGGCTAAAGGTTCCTATATCCAATCAGAAAAAAACTGTTGACACAGAAAGCCAGAGTGTTCCTCACTTTGCGTATTTTAATAATCTCAGGATAACCACTCCACACCTACACATCACATTTAAAGAAATGCCGCGTTTCTTTAATAAATCAGATCAAACTGGGTCAGTTTGAGTGCAATTAGATTGTCCTTTTTTTTTCTTTTTAAAGAACAGAAACAATATTTACAAGATCCTTCCTGCACCCGTGCGATGCTTCTTCCGTTTCTCATCTCTTTGTACGTTTTAGCCGTGACTGTTAGCATTTGTTTGCTTAATGAAAAGTAGAGGCTTGTAAGCAGAAACAGATCCTTTTTTTTATGCCTCCTCTCCCAGTAGACTAGGAGAGGGAACACTGTCTAACGATGTGCATAGTGATTTAGTGTGGATGATTGCAGAAATGTACAAATATGCGTGGCAGGCCGAAGAAGAAGAAGGAAAAACAGAGTCTTATTTGTGCATGTGTGTTGGCATGTTTTAGATGCCGTCGTAGAGATGTCACTAATCAGCATTTATCTCTTTGTACACATTAAAGCACTGAACTGAGAGTCTCTTGTGTCACTTTTTCATATTGTTCTTACTGCTTTCATCTTGTGTTTTTTTTTTTTTTCCCTCCCCGGTTCTGAAGCCGTTGCCGCCGCGTTCGTTTCCCTTTTCAGTTTCTCTCAAACCTATGCAAATCATTTTTATCTAAAATTCATTAAAGCGCCTCCATGTATTCTGTAGAGAACTAATCAGCCTAGATTGTAAGAATTGTAAAAACACTAACATTTCTAAATCAGTACTATAACAATATTACAAGCTTCTAGATATTTCTGTGTGGTGTTTCTTAAAGCACTGACTCCAGCTCCTGTCTTTTAACGCTGCACATTAGAATAAGTTTTAATAAAAGCGAAAACAAAAGGGGAAAAAAAAAGTTTCTTAGTTTGAACTATCCACTGAGAATCTAGTATGGCTCAACTTCAATTTTAAGATGCAAAACATTAGAAAACGGTCAGTTTTTCCTTCCACTCAACTTTCAGTCGTTAGCAATAACACCTGTAACATCTTTTTCAATTGAATTAACTTGTGCAGTGTTCCACTTTTCTGGGAGAGCCCAGCTTTTCATCAACTGAAAACCATCAAGATTAATAGCAAAAACTTGCGATAACTCACTGTGTGTGATGAATACATAATAAATGAGAAATACTTTCTGAATACATTTTCCAGTTGCATCCTAGTTTATAGAAATGCACTTGCATAATGAAGTTCATCCGAGGCTGATTACCCAAATTAAAGATCTAAGAATTTGATTATTTATAAATAAACCATGTCCAAATCCATCATACGGCACAATTATCAGTAGAGTGAGAGGAATGTATTCAGTGGTTACTGATGTAAACTCCTTATCTGGGGCTCTGCTGCCCTCTGCTGTCCACTTGGTGTGTTAGCAACAAGAGGTGACTTTGTTCCAAAGCCATTCCAAGTGTTCCATCACTTACTTATGTGATGCAGAAAAAATTTAAGTAATTACCCCTCCTGGGGAACCTCCCCCCCACGTCCCCCAATAAACTGCATCATGAAAATAAGCATCTTCTGCTAGTTAAGTCACTACTTTTTCCAAGCTTTGCCTGCAACCCTTTGACTATAGAGTTCATTTGTTTTGCCGGTACCCCAATATGTTTTGTCAAGAAGCTGAACTATCATCAGGCAAACTGAGACATACACACAAGCTGCAGCAGTGTTTGGAACACACCAAGTCCTTGGCAAAAAAGCCTGGTCATTGCCTCCCTGTGCAGTTTCGCTAGATTCTTATCTCCCTTTACTGCTCTGTCCGGGATTTCTCCCATTGAGTTTGATTTGTTTTGGTTTTTTTTCCATTAGAATTTCAACTGGACCAATCAACAAACAGAAATAGGAGTTGTGAACAATGACTTTCTTTGCTGTCATCTGCTGTCTGTTGCAGTTTGGAAATGGCAGCAGAGGTGAAAAAAGCCATTCGGTCGGTCTTGGACACGCTAGCACATTGCTAGCAAAAATGCGATTCGACTCCACACTTCTCTGTTCGTGGTGAGGGATGGTTCTTACAGCGCACGCGATTTCTGACAAACTGTATAGAAAAGCTTCCTTTACGTTTGAGCTAGCAGAGTACATTTGTTGCAGCCAAACGTCAGTGATAGGCCAAAATCAGATCCAACTATTTCAAGCTTAAACAGAGTCCACTCCTCCAGCAAGAAATGAATAGTCAGTAGCCAATGATGTAAACCCTGTGTACAAGCTGGTTAACCAAAAATATTGTCGTGGTCTGTTCTATTTGCTTAGCTTCCTCAAAAATATGCATCGTCTTCCAACAATAACAATGCAAGATAATGCAACGGTATAACGTGGAAGACCATTCTAACACATCTCCCACGTCAAAGGATGTGCTTTCTGAACTTGCTTCTATCTCATCGAGATGATTCCCTGTATTGCTAATCCTGAGTTATTAGCACCTAATTAGGTATCAAATGTCCATGTCCTATTGATACACCAAACTAACTCCAGCAGAGCAATTCCATTAGATGTTATCCAGTTGCTACTGGGCTTGAATGACTTACTGGCAGAACCTCCCTCCCACAATCTCTATAGCTAATCACATTTATTTACTGTAAAGGGCTACACGTGTACTAATACACTGTATTGCATTAACTTTTTTTAAATGTTTTTTTTTTTTTTTTAAAGAAGATCCCAGTCTGCTCACCCCTTCTCCTCCCCCCACTCAATAGACTTCATGGGGAGCGTCAAGATGTTTCGGCCCACTGCGCCCACCACGTCACCATATCTGAGAATAGAGCCTCTCTCCGACTCATGAATGCTTGTAATGTTGTGTGTAATGACTCGTGACGGTAAACCCAGTCCTTCTTTTAAACACTCTGCAAATACAAAGTGGCTGTATCAGTTTCACAGCAGATCTAATCATAGCGAGTGTGTAAACGGCACTGCCATTCAATCGTGAAGCAGTGAGAGCTTTCCCATCGGAGGCCACCGATTAGAGGAGCAGTGTGCTATAAAAACATTTATGGCTATAACTTCATCTGTTCATCAGGGGCTTCTGTTAGTCTTCAATCATTTATTTTTTTGGTTTGCAATTATCTTTTATAACACATTAGAAAAACACAGTTGTTTGCATATTTTAATGACAGCACATAGGGATTCAATGGGATGGTCAGAGGTCAGCCTCAAATACAAAACAATACTATATATTTTCTCCACCAGTGTGATGGTAATAAAGGAGTCAGGACTCTTATAATCCCAGCTGTATCAGTGTTTTCCCAGTATTTGCACGCTATCGCCCCCAAGCGGTTGCACAAAAAAATGGTGGGTCACAGATTTTTCTGTAACACCTGTTCGCGGCGGAAGTCGCATCCGTAACTCACGCAAAGCTTTTAGGGCGCCTGGAGAAAAGTTTATATGCTTAGAAATACATGTTGTTTATAAAAATGCCTTATGGTGATATGCTGCCAGTGTTTTTGAAGCACAGCTAAGTTAAAATATCCGCACTCCGCCACAACTCAGTGAGTCATTTGTCATAATTTCCGCAACTCTCGCGAGGACGTGAAAGGCGAGTGGCGTGACGTCACAGAGAAGCGTTAGCTCGGAAAAACTAAAAAGAAGAAAACGACGGAAAGAGTCAAATAATGAAGGTAAAACATTTGCCTTTAATGTTGTGCGAATAAAGGAGAAAGGAGGAGGTCCTTTTTTTCCCAAGAAAATGTTCAACTTGGTGGCAACGGGCTTACATTTTTGCCACACCGTTGCGCTAGCTAGCATGTGAACTGTCATTCAGCGCAAACAGACCGGTTCTAGAATAGCATATTGTGTCGCCACCACACAGATACGTGGCTTTCTTTTTTTCACCTGAACGCACCATTTCCCAACTTTTACTGTCATTTGAGGTTTATCAACAACAACAACAAAAAAATACTCAATGAAAAAATTGGATTATCAATGAAGTGTCTTCCTTCAGGTCACATCTACTGCCATCCAGCCAGAGGGAGGAGTCACCTAACCCCGCCTCCATTGTCAGCACTGATGTCCATCAAGTCAGTCAGAACTCGGTCTCTACGGCAAATTCATGTTGCACTCTGTTTTGGGTGAAATACTCTCATGTGATCTGTCTGTGGTCTGGTCGGGGGTGAATTAACTGCTTTCTTTTTAAAAAAGATTTATTCAAATAAAAAAAAAAAAAATGTATCCCCAAAGGGAAATTAAGTCTTGTTGTAACAAGTTACTATCGTGACGATGTGGGCAGGATGGATGTTCATGGCAGTCAAAAAAAAAAGTCAGAAGCAAACAATGCTAATCCACCTATTTAGCTGTTGCCTTTAGAAATCTCTGCTTTGCATTGTGCCAAAAATACAATGATGTGCTGTTTATGGCCAGCGGTGTTCAAGTAATTATTGTTCACCTCTGTAAATGTACTGAAATTCAGGAGGACCCCACAAAGCTACAGATAGATGAAACAAACTATCACACTGTTTTTGGCTTCCGTTTTGTTTCATAAATTATACCACTATGGAATTGGTGGGTTATGTTTCTGCGCAATTTAAAGTTCACTTCAAAACGTTAAAGTTCTTGAATTGACTGATGAGTGTGCTTTTTTTTTTAACCATGACTTATTACTGCTGTCCGCTCCCGAAGGCCACAGCTTGGTCTGTTTCAAACTCACCTTGATATCCTGTAACTAGGCTGCATCCTCGTCCCAGGGAGGAAATAAATGTCATGGACAGGGAGATTGAGTTTTACGCTTGGTGTCTGCCAAGCGGTTTGAGCCACATCATAACAGCTTACTATTTAAAGGTGGGAATGCTCCGAGTCCCCCCCCACCCCTCTCATCCTGCCACCTGCTCCTGTTCATCTGCCCTTCAGTGACAGACCAAGCGGTCCTCCTTCTCTTCCTGCTTTAGTCCCTTCTGTCTTACCCTCTGTGTCCACTCCCTATACCCCACCTTTGACTCGATCTGGATCTGTCCCTTCCCTCCTTCCTTGAGGATTTAACTTGACCGTTTGGCTCAGCGGTAACTAACTTTTCACAGCTGGTGGCCTGGTGATGGCGGAGGGCGTACGTCCTGAGGATTACTGCGACGAGCCGGTGGAAGATGAGTTCGGAGAGATCATCAAGTGTCGGTCTGGTAAGACATCAAAGCCTCCTGTGTGTGCGTGTGAATGTGTGTGTGGGTCCAGGAGCATACTGACCCATATGCTGCTGACTGAGATATCAAAGGCTGCAGTGCATTGATGCTGATCCTGCTCCAAGCTGGTGACACCAAAGAGGGGGTCACCCAAAACTTTTAAAGTATTGCATCACCAATATACCAACTGATGCAAAATTGGAGTCTATATACTTGATTTCAAGCTTTTATTTTTCTGTATTGCTCAAATATAAATAAACTATAAAGTTTACTTGGAGATGACTTTATACCTAAACAAATAGCTTAACTTTACTGGTGTTAGCTTAAAGCTAAAAACATGTCTGTGCCACTGTCATGCATATGCTAACCTATGACTTCCAAGAGTTAGCTTAAATACA